GTGTGTGCTGCTATGAGTCACTGCATAAAATCTCCATCTTAACTCATTTCTTCTGTTTCTGAGGACAGAAATCAGATTTTCTTGAAGCTGCATTTTGTGCCTGGAGGCAGAAAAATGTGATTTGGTGAGAGCAGAGCTCACGGTTACTCAGAGGCCGGCCAACGCTGGGGAGAAGGAAAAGAACTACAAATCCAGCTGTGCTTTCACACTACATCACATGGTGCACATACGTATGTTTGCATGCACGTACCTGCATGCACCACATCTCCTCCTCAGCAGGTGAACAAAACACATGTTTACATGCTTAGCTTGACATTTATCATAATTCCACTTCTCCTGGTTTTGCTGTTACGTCCACCCCCCTGTGAACGCTGAATTTAGTTGAAGTTGCTGCTCAGTACAGAAGGATTTGAAAAAGCTCCAGAGGTCACAGGTCACAGATAGATGCAGCTGTGTGATGTCAGCACAGCTGTTCCTCTGCTTTCAGAAGTCTGTGGGAAAACCGGCGCCCCCTATCTGTGAGCTTGTTGCTGATGCGCGTGTGGGTCCACCTGTAGTAAACCACGCTGTTTATTAGAGCCAGACAGAAGGCGTAAGCTCATTGGCTTACAGCGTGTGACTGACACATCCTGAGCCAATGAGACTGCACAAAAGCTGCAATGGCTACTGGGGAAACGCCCACATGAAGGCGTCATGGTGATTGGTGTGTTGTCGAGGACTTGTGCCTTGGCGGGAACGCTGTAGCTACATCGTCCCTTTGAAACATCAGCGCCGCCTGCAGCTCCTGTGATTGGCCTGTTCAGCATCAACGTAAGGTAAATATCAGCAAATTCCTGGAGCGAGATGAAACGATCAGAACGGACAAAGCCATGGAGAAACCTAGACGGGAGCCCGAGGGAGGACGTCCCAGCGTGTTATTGCATCAGCTGGCACCGCCCACAGGAAGGACTGAGGTCGTCTCTGCACAGACTCCTGCAGACGTCCGAGTCAGCGTTTTCTCAGAGTCTCCAGGCAAGTAGACTTTATTTTACTTTATTGTCATTCAGATGGACAAATGAATATTTTTATATTTATTTCACACATGTGATCATTTAATAACCCGAGTACAAAGCAGCTGAGACAACAGCAGTGACAGAAGATCCTCTCACAGGTGGAGGCAGTGGACTGGCGTCTGACACTATTACTCACAGCACAAAAACACTCTGCGCTATCCGACAGAGGTGACCCTGAACCCTTAATTATGCTCCTATAGGTTCAAGCTGCTGGGACATCGCCCATGTTGCATCAATCACCTCCCTCTACTCTCCTCCTTATTTACAACGATTGCATCTCCCTCCTGCAGTCTGCCCTCTCTGTCCTTGC